CACACACACACACCTGCGCTCTGCTCGCGGACTCGACTCCGGTCTACGACTTGCGGTTTTCACTCTGGTCGGGACGGCTCCGCGCTCCGCGGCTGGCGGCTCAAGACTGAGTCACACTTTGCACGGACGGAACGGGATGGGCCGGGCGATGACGGTACACCTCGCCCCGCCCCGCCCCGCCCCGCCTGGCGCCGCGCCGACACGAGCCGGTGGCCACCGAGGAGCCCAGCGGCAGCGGCGCACCGTGCGCATCACCAGCACCGCGTTGTTGTTCATCATGTCCGAGATCCTGCGCATCACATGGACGGGCCCCGCCCCGCCCCGCGCCGGCCCGGCTGTGGCAGTGCGGTGTGCCCGGTGCCACGCCCCACCACGCCCCGCCCCACCGCGCCCCGGCTGACATCACCGACAGCAAGCCCCCCCAGCCGAGCCCAAGCCTGATGTCATGGTTGGCCGACCGACCGGTCGCGTATCCAAGAGAATGAAAGAACGAGGATGGAGGGGGGAGTAGCCCGGCCCACCGTGCGAGCGAGAGAGATAAGAAAACATTCTTATTCTCGCGGACGGAAGGTGGTCGGGGTCGGAGTCGCGCCCCGCAAGTCCTCCACCCCACCGCAGAATATCTCTCTCTCTCTCTCTCTCTCTCTCTCTCTCTCTCTCTCTCTCTCTACACCCCCCCCCCACACACACACTCCTCAAGTTTTCCTCTCCTCACCCTTTTCTCTCGAGATCACCAAAGCGAAAGGCACGAAGTGACAGAGGGGCTCTTCTGCTCTGCTCCGCTCCAGCAGCTCAAACGGCTCCGGCTTAATTAAAACGTCCAGAGCAAACCCCCATGCGTTGGGCCAGGCCCGGCGGGGGCAGCATGGCGAACCCGAGACTGAGAAAGAGCCGCTCGCGGGCGGGGAGAGGGGAGCGAGAGCGAGCAGACAGATTCAAAACAAAACTAAACCAGCACACCGAAATCACCGCCCCCACCTCACCCCCATCAATTTTTTCATAAATTTTTTCGGTCCGCCCCCCTCTTGCTGCGCTGCGTGCGCGCCGGGGCAGAGATCACTGGGGGGCGGGGGAGCGCCGAGCCCAGTGCCGCCCCCGCTGCCTCCATCAATTACGGAGCCTAAGCGTCCCGGGGGCGGCTGTCCGGCCCGTCTGGTGCCTGCCTGGTGTGTACACTCTGGTGTACCGGATAGGGCTGCCCTAGCGACCCTCCGGGGGCAGGGCAGGGGAGCGGAGGGAGGGAGGGCGGAAGTGTCCATGCAGTTAATCACGTCGACAGAAATCACCCGCCGCCACTGACCCATTGCATGGTTATCAAGACACATGTCACACGCCCTTATATTTCTTATATTCTGCATCCCCCAAACCCCCAACAAAATTACTATCCATTTGCTGCGCTGGCGCCTCTTTGCGCGCCCCATACACTATATTGTATGCAGAAGAAGGGCGAGGGGCGGGGGAGGACACCGCGGGAGGGTAGGGGCGCGTGGTGAGGGGTTGGGGTCGGTGGTTGTTTCGATACTAGGCGGGAAGTCCCTCCGGCCGCCCCCCGCCGCCCCTGTAGGGCTGCACCCCTAATCTTGTTAGCCTTTACTACAGAACAGGCTATGTGCGGGGAGAAAAAAGAGGAGAAGGGAGCAGTGCGATTTTCCACAACTGAGCACGCAAAGAAATTGTCTAGGTAATTTTTAATAACCCAAATTTATTCTAAAACGTCCAAGTTTTCCTCTCCTTCTTTTAGTGCCCGGCGGCCCGCCGCCGGTTAGAGACGTCGGATTTTCGCGGGACCGAAATACTTTCCTAGCCAAGCGGCGCCCACCCGCCCGTCACTCGCCAGTGGTCACTCCCCGCGTGGGCGTGGCGGCGGCCTGGTCCTGGGGTTGGCGCAGTGTTCGTCGGACGTTGTATTCAGGCCGCGACAAACATAACGCAAGGGTTGCGTCTAACGACCCTGGGGTGCCCCACACCATCGGCATCAAAGCCTGCTCACCGAAACTGACGGTCCTTGACGCGGCGCCCGCGGGTGCTGGAGCCTTGGCTGGGGCCTTGGCTGGGGCCTTGGCTGGGGCCTTGGCTGGAGCAAGGGCTGCTTGTTGATCCTGCTGCTCCTGCTGCGGGAACAGTACGGCGGTCTCGACGGCCCGGACTGACCTCTCTAGCCGGGAAGTCACGTTCTCCAGGCGGCAGATGAACTCTTCCAGCGGCGGCTGCACAGGCGTCTCTCCTGGAGATGAAAGGAGAGAGAGAGAATTAAATATTGCAACAATAAGTCTCACGTTCGCGATAGCCAGTTAAATGACATTATTGGCCTTCGACCAGTATTACAAAACAAGTTTCACGAGTAATCGAATTATAAGAAAAGGCTTGTATGCCTCTTCCCTCGCAGCACACTACACATACAAATCGCAACACATGGAAACACTTGGTTGTGCTACCGTGTACAACAAAAGTACGGGAAACTTCTCCATAAACAATGTAACTTCATCTGATTTTTTCGTTAATAGCGAGGAAAAAAAGTTCCGACCAGAAACGGATCGTGAAAGCAGATGATACCAATTGAAGAGTAA